GAAAACACAGAGCTGTCATGAATTGACCAATCTTAGGTGGTGATTGGTTCAATTGTAGGGAGATTCTAAGTCTGTCACGGAACCATTTCGTCGGGATTTGTAACCGTTGGATTAACTATCCACGACGGTTCTATGATGATTTAACAGTTATAAATCCCAACAGAATGGTTCTGTAACGGGACCGTAACTTAGTTGTAATGAGATTTACCATTTCTAGTCAGAAATAATGATGACAGATTTTTAACCTTTTTTTCTGGAAAGGAAATAGCAAGTATTGATTGCGATGGACCTTTAGGACTTTGTTCAAATCAACTGTATTAACGTGTTAAATTAAACTATTAGTACTCCATAATATGATTTACCTTTGGGTACATTAAATAATGGGTCTACCTTTGGGTACATTAAATTAAGTCTCCCTATATGGTATTATAAAAACAATAAATCAATTACATCATATAGGCGACGGAATTGTTTAGGGTGTGATCGTATATATAAATTCAATAGTAAAAGAAACAATTAAAACTCAAATTTAATTCAACTGTAATTTAACTCCACTATTCTCGATACTATTTGTCATCCTGTGCACATGCACAAATAACATAAAAAAATATAATTATTATATATAAAAATAACAATTAAAATAAAATTTAAATTAATAATGTTTATCATAATTATAATTTTATTGTTATATTACTTACTCTTAGCTGAAATTTCATATTTCAATAAAAAAGGTGTCATGAGGAATTTATCAGATGCAAATAATTATTATATGAATATAATAAATAATATAATTTTATATATACTTTGAGTATCATAATGATACTAATCATAAAAGTATCACAAAGTAAAAATAATAATATAAATTTGAAATGGACAATATAATTTTTTTATAGTAAATGCTAATCTTTTTAAGATATTTAAGGTTTTAATTGTATTAATAATAAAATAAAATACACGTACAATTTAGATTATTTCATCTAATAAATTTTCACTTATAATTTTGATACATATACGTCGGTACTTTTATTACAAAAAATTTGGTCATTATAAAATATCTCAACTACCTTGTAAGACACAAAGTTTTTTAGCGCTTAGATGACAACAAAATTGGAAAACCATTGCATTCATTAATATACTACTTTGTAGAATTTGTGTCCATATCAACACTTACAAATTTATTTTAAAATAAAATCTAAAAAAAGTAAAATAACTGATAAAAGTTAATATCAAATCTACATTGCTAAGCTGAAAATTTAAATAGATTTTTTTTAAGATATAGAATCACA